TATATACATTAAATATAATATTAAAATTACAAACCTTTGATTGGCGTTACAGCGCCATACAGCCTCCAATCTATACTATCGGGAATATCTGTAATTTCCTTTTCGATATCATGCGAGAATGATGCTCCACCATTATAACCTGGGGTGTATTGCTTGCCTCGTAAAGCCTTTAATTCGAGATCGCTATGATCTACCAAATGATTTATCTCTAACTGATAACCCAAATTGGCACGATTTATAGAATGAATAAACCTGAAAATTATTTACATGAAGCAATTATTTTTGAAATAATAACAACACAATATCCATTGTGGCATAAGTGTACCTGATATTTTGTCTAAATAAATCTTTACGATACATATGATCCAAGTCATCTCTGTAATTTTTATTGTAAATTTTTTTAAATTTATCAAATGCTTCATGCAAATGATCCTCATAATTATGTATGAATTCACGCATTGGGTTAAAGGTATATATATGATTTTCACCTGGACCTGGGAAGCTGACGCACTTATCATCTACAAATAATTTTCTTTATAATAATAAATTTAATACAGTAATTGTTTTACTATAATTAAAAAAAAACTTTATATCAGTTAATAGCAAGTGGGAAAAAATATATATTAAGAATTATAAATACCTTCTTTAATATTAAAGACATCATCAGAAGGTTTGTCAGAGGAATACCAATCATACTCCAAGTAATAATGATCATAATGTGAACCTAAAAGACTATTAAATCCTTTCATTTCATATCTCATAGGAATAGGTTCCTTCACTTTTGGTAGATACGGTGATTTCTATAAAGATTATTTTCTCCAAATAGAACAGATTTATTTATTTTATCATATACACAAATAATTTTATTCTTACCTTATAACGTATCCAAAGAGTATACTTATTTGTTTTGTCCCCAATTTCTTGTACAAGTCGCCATTTCTCGCACAGTAATCCATTAATCATTTCTTCTCCAATACACTATGTATAAATTTCAGTAAAAGCTACTTATATTTTTTTTTATATGTATATACATATCTATAATTTATAAAATTGCAGAAATTCTAATTTTACTAACCTCCATTTCAGGTGTATCTGGAAGAATAGATTGTGGTTGTATTTTAAAATCACTAGTACCATTCACTTGAAGACATGTTTCTTCATTACTAACAGTTTCTGTTGTAATAGGTGCTATTTTTATACTCGCTCCATATTGTCCTTTGTGAGCCAATTGAAAAGTTTTAACCATTCCTATTAGAAAAAAAAATATTATGATATTATGTGTATTATACCAAACAGGTCTAAATTAAAAATAGATAATAAATAATTAAAGATTTTTATTATTTTTTAATACCTCCATAATAATCAATCCTACTAGATCCACTGTTGCCATCATACCAAGCATAGAAAGGTTCTCGAATTTCTGCATATGGAATATACAATGTTCCTTTCACTGTATATGTTTTACTGAATGTTGGAGCTGTTAAGGTTGTTTTAGAAAGTGCCACTGTACAACACATTCCTACAAAATTTAAAAAATATTATATATAAGAGAACATACATATAATAAATAAGAAAAAGTTACTAATGTATATCATTACTTAAGTATAACTTACCATAGAATATTAGGAATATAATATTTCTAAAGTTAGACATTTTCAGTATATCTCTGAAATACATAACATATGGATGAATATGATATAAAATATTTATCATCAAAATTTATTATCAAAATATTTATTCTGATACAGCTGACATGGCTGACCTAATCAAAGTATTATATAATACATTGATTAAGACAGGATCATATATATTATACATATGGCAATAAAATTAAACTATACATTTATTACGATGATTTATATAAAGAAGATATAATAAGGACAAGACATATTGCAGCAATGAAATAATCATTATCAAATATCTATCGAGAGAGTAGAAACGTTATTGTATATTGGCAAAACTGCTGGTGTACAAGGATACATACGCAAATAAATAAGATTAAAAATATTTAATATCAGTTTTTACATAATAAAACTACATCATATAATAATAGAAATAAGTAGAAATATACGTCAAAATATAACTACTGCACTGTTAAAAAGAAATTAATAATTTTCAAATATTGGGGGAAAAATGGAACTCCACATTTGTTTTATTTTTTGTAAACATTATTGATAACGTCATGATGATATTATCTTGGTTTTGTGGAAAGCACTAACTTTTATGTATTTATTTTATCCATCTTAGCAAAAACATCATGGTAATTTACTAATTTAGAACGAAAAGACTTAATCATGTATATAATATAAAATTTACCTCAATATTGTTATGCAGAAAGGCCTGTCTTTCGAGAAAACAGATAATGACTGATTATGCCTGGAGCTTGGAGTACAATGAATCAACTTTTTTGTATCTATTTACGTTCGGAAATTTCGAGGAGAATCAGAGGAGAATAACGGGGAATTTCTTTTGTTAATGTGAAGTTGAGTAGCACTGGCGACCGATTTAGCCCATGTCGTCAATTGGCGGACACAACTGTAAAATCTTTTGATTGACTGATTTAAATAAATTCTACCAACATAAATAAACTTTAATCTCAGTTCAATTACTTTACTATTTTTTTTTACTTTCCATTTTTTCAATTCAGAAAAAATGAAGAGTAAGTTGAATCGAGATTAAAGTTAATCTGTAGTACATTGGTACATAGAAACATGCATTATTAGTACAAAATATACTTTAAACATGTGTCAAACATAAGAATTCTGCAATTCTTTGGTACACAAAAGTAATCAGGGTGCCTTTTAATATTATGAGAAACAATTTTTAGGATTATAATGATTATAATTTTAGGCTAAACTTCCTCTCCGAAGATTTTACTCTATATTATAGTATACGTGTACTATATATTTCGAGTAAAATTTTCCTCGGAGAGGAAGTTTTGAAACGTATCCTTAGTGGCTTTAATAGTTAATTGTACTGAATATATTTTGTCCATATCGCAACTTATATAAGGCTATATGAAGAGCATTTAATGTTCTTTATAGTTACATTAGTTACACTTTCTGTACTTAAAATAAAATATTGGATCATCTAAAAATTTCATTATATTGTACAATATAATGGAATGAAAACGAGAAAAAATGAATAATATAAAAAATATGATTACAAAGGACACATTTAAAAACGCTTGCTTATATGTCAAGCACATTTATACTGAAGAATTTCCGTTTCCAATAGAAAAAAATCGCAGACGATAATGATTATCACTTTGTCAATTGATTTGCAAGATTCCACAAGACTCCTAGTTAGTTGCTAACTAGATCAAGATTTATTATGTGTCATGTCACAACGCACTAAAGTTATTCATTTATATAAAACGGTAATAAAGTGTTATATACAAATTAACATATATTCAGTATCATTCTAGTGAGCATATATTTCCTAAGATGTAAATATATAACTTAATAAATGTACATTTTTTCACTTATTGCACATTTTTGAAAAATTTTCGTTTTGCGTTGTCTTTCAGCTGTTGTACATGGGCCGAGATTATCCGAAGGGATATCAATATTTCAGGACCAAGCTAAAGAGAGCCTTTGACAAAAACAAAACAGAGACCGACCCCGAAAAGATAGATAAAATGATAAATCATGGTAATTTTGTAATAAAAGAGTTAGAAGCTTTGTACATGTTGCGCAAGTACAGAACATTGAAGAGAAGATACTATGATCAATAAAAGGAAAGAGTTTACATGACTGAGTTGAGTTTACATCAACTGTAGATGTGTAATAATAATGCTATATAAATTACTACTATGTTTTGTATATAAATTGATTAATATGTAATTGTCATAAATTAGAATTAGTCTACATCTAATGTGTATATTTGTACTGCGCTAATGTTTATATTTTATGCTTTATAAGTAAAATGTTTCGTCTAAAGAATGTTTCTTTTTATTCGAACGATCGACACGGTGGTATTCTAACCTAGCGTCAGTTACGGAACATTTACGTTGTGTACTCTCAATTATTCTCGCATAAAAATACATTTCGCAAAAATGTGTAGTGCATTGTAACGGAACTTTTTTTGTATTTTTATAGAATCTTCTAAAATGGCTGCTTGTGTAGCTGTTATTGGCAAAGATGCAAGTATAAATAGCTATTTTCTGGTTGATAGGTTATGACGTATCAATAAAAATTTTCCAATAGATACAATAAAGCATATTTATTTTAGCGAGTTTCTTTACGTATTGTAAACATCGAATTATTCTAAATAATAATGAATATTTTGTAGAATTCTCCAAAATTTATCAAAATATATCAATGTACGGATGAAGCTGCTGGATTGCAATTTCATTACAAAGTACATACGTCAATTGATATCATAGAAGAAAAGCTGAATATAGGGAGTAAAACGACAGTTGATATACGTGATTTATACTTAGGCTTGTTATTTGCGACTGAAGAATACAAAATGTATGTAATATTATTCTCATATAACATCGCTCTATAACGTACCTACAAATTAGACATTAAATATCTTTTAATATTATTATTTTCAGATATGGTTATGCTACAAACACAAAGATTAAATTTGTTATAGTATTGCAATCATCTAATGTATCATTAAGGGATAACGAAATAAAAATGGTAATATTTTTTTTATGCCTCATATATAAACTTAATATTTTATTAATTATGATTTACAATTAATATGTAAATGTTTGACAATCTGTTAATAGATTTTTAAGAAGTTACACGCTGCATACTCCAATGCTGTTTGCAATCCATTTTACATTCCAGGTGATGAAATAAAATCCAAGTATGTGTGAATTAATCCATATATATGTATCTGTTATAGATAATGTAAATAATATGTTATAGATAATATATAATATATATAGTCATATATAAAAACATCTTAATTATTTATACTGGATTTTTAGGTCATTTGATACATCAGTGCTGGAAATAATGGGTGTTATATAATTTACAAAGATATTAAAAAATAATTAAAGAAATATTTCACACACATCGTTCCAAAATGTATTATTCACATCATACAAATGCTTTATGTAATTGATAATAAATTATATATAATAACTTGTATGTTTGTAAAGCTGTATAATCAACTTTTTTAATTATCCTTTTGTATCTTTCTTATTTATACACTTTCTGTGTTTCTTTTAATTTATATTTTATATATCATTTTTTTACGTAATTATATATTTAATATTTTATTATTGCTAGAAAATAATGTGGCAAATCAGTTGATTGATCGCATATAAATCGAACCTTAAAAGGAATTAAATTCAGAATATAACTCACTATAAAACGAATATCGCATTAAATACATATCCTACATAAAAATTCTTTTTGATTGGTTTAATCGAGCATGTGCTTCTCAATCGGATTTATAATTCGTTTTTGTACTTCCTGATGTCCAAAAGCAGCGAATCACAGACAAATGGAAAAATAAATCGCTTCATAGAAACGATTCACGCAGCATGGCGATAGCTCCCTGAATGCCTGAATCACAAACGTCTATTAGTCCTATTTAGACCGTTATCGAAGATTTTCGAATTTGTGTGATTTTTTGGAGAAAAGTATCTGCATACATCAATTGACTTACCATGGTAATTATCGCGCTCCAGTAATCTTGCCTATATAGTAAATGCTAGTGATTCTCTTGCGATCGCTAGAACCCGGTCTTCAGGAAGCATGACAAACTCACGTGTCGTTGAAGGAATAAATAATAATTGCATGATAAATGACTTTGATGCATTTTGTAGACACTAAAATTTTCAATTGGCTTTTAAATTGATTGAATCTCTGATGCGCACATGTACTCATAAGCAGTTGTTATCTTTTAAAAGTGATTATGATTATATTTTAAATGAAAAATTCTATCGTGAGCAACTAAATAAATTCTTTTATCTTATTTGATTGTAAGGTCTCCTTAAATCCAGTGCGGATCCTCAGAAATGAAGCTGGAGAAGAGAAGGCAGAAATTGCTAGATTGAGCTCGTTTGTTGGAGTTATAGCTATTGGAGACTTGGTCAAATCTACTCTTGGTCCTAAAGGCATGGACAAGATACTTGTATCTCATGGTAGATCCTTGGGACAAGTACATGTTACTAATGATGGTGCTACTATTCTCAAAAGTATTGGCGTTGATAATCCTGCTGCCAAGATTTTGGTAGATATGTCTCGTGTCCAAGATGATGAAGTGGGTGATGGTACCACTTCAGTCACTGTTCTCGGTAAATATGATATAATTAAGTAAGAAGCAATGCCTATACTGGTCAAAGATGAATCTTGAATGCTTTTAAATAATTTCGTATGAATTTATATACTGCATTTATAGTCTCTCAAATTACGAGCCAAATTAGTTTTCTAGATGTAGAAACTGAACTACCATAGTAATATCATAAATTAAATTTATTAATAATTTTATGTTTAATTGGCAAAATTTCAAGAAATAATTAATATATTAAAAATCTATAAATACATTTATTGCGAAAAATATTACCTCAATCAGTCGAACCCAGATTTCTAGCATTCCATGAGAGCGTCCTAAATCTTTAAACCGAGACTTAGTAATATACTTCATAATAACCAATATGTAGGAATATATGCATCTTTTAGACAATGTGTATAAACGTAATAAATTGTTTATGATTATTCACTTGAATTTTCAAATTATTTAATATCTTTAATAATCTTTAATTTTCTTTTTTTTTTACAGCTGCTGAATTTTTGCGAGAAGCTGAGAAGCTAATCGAGAATCAAAAAATTCATCCCCAAACTATCATTAGTGGTTGGAGAAATGCTACAAATGTAGCGACTGAGGCTTTAAAAAATGCAGCCGCAGACAATTCTGCAGATCCTGATCGATTTCGAGAGGATTTATTAAATATTGCTCGTACAACATTAAGTTCTAAGATTTTATCTCAGCACAAGGAGCACTTTAGCAAGCTTGCAGTTGATGCAGTGTTGCGTCTTAAAGGATCTGGTAATTTATCTGCGATTCAAGTTATAAAAAAACGTGGCGCAACACTTGCTGATTCCTTCTTAGATGAAGGATTTTTATTAGATAAAAAACCAGGTGTTCACCAACCACAAAAAGTTTCTGACGCACGTATACTTATCGCTAATACATCTATGGACACGGATAAAATCAAGGTTTATGTTCCTTCTGTTATGTATATTTTTTTTAATTTTTTAACAAACCTAACAATAACCCTATTATATGCATTTATTTATTTATAGGTATTTGGCTCTAGAGTACGTGTAGATTCAATGGCGAAGATAGCAGAATTAGAAGCTGCGGAAAAAGAAAAAATGAAAGTAATGGACATTTTTAAAAGTTCTTCACGCATATTTAAAGTTTAATATGATAATTATATAATAATCTTCTGAATTTACACAGGATAAGATTGACAAAATTTTGAAGCATGGTTGCAACGTTTTTATCAATAGGCAATTGATATACAATTATCCGGAACAATTATTTGCTGATGCCGGAATTATGGCTATTGAGCATGCTGATTTTGATGGTATCGAAAGACTTTCGCTCGTTACTGGTGGTGAGATTGTTAGTACTTTTGACAATCCCGATTTAGTCAAATTGGGAAAATGCAATCTTATTGAACAGGTAAATTTATAATTTACGTTTGTAATTCATACATAATATTTTATATGGTGGAGCACTCGATTCTAGTGTGTGTATGGGCGCATGTGTGTGTGTAATTAATTTTGTTGTAATTTTAATTATATATCAATTGCGTTGTTATATTTTTCAGGTCATGATAGGAGAAGATACACTCTTAAGATTCTCTGGAGTTCCATTGGGTGAAGCATGCACCGTTGTTATTCGTGGCGCAACGCAACAGATCATCGACGAAGCCGAGAGATCGTTGCATGATGCGCTCTGCGTTTTAGCAGCTACGGTACGCGAGTCGAGAATAGTTTATGGTGGTGGGTGCAGCGAGATGATTATGGCTTGCGCTGTTATGCAAGCGGCCGCGGCTACGCCGGGTAAAGAGGCTGTTGCAATGGAAGCCTTTGCACGAGCGTTGCAGCAATTGCCAACCATTATCGCCGACAATGCTGGTTATGATTCGGCACAATTGATTAGTGAGTTGAGAGCCGCGCATAATTCTGGGAGCAACACCATGGGATTAGGTAAGTTCCAAATTTTTATGCTCTTTTATCGCTGGAAATATTTTTAAATATATAATAAATTGCGTGCGAGTGTGCTAAATGATTCCATGACAAAAAAATATCAAGTTAAATTAAATTTACAATAAGATAGGAAACAAGACCGTTTATGTTAAATAACATTACTTTAAATTCCGAAGCGCCACTACGGTCTAAGATGTTGAACTAATATATATATTTTCAAACAAATGAATTAATTTCAGAAATGATAATTACGTACCGATATGGTTGTCGGCATTAACGCAATTGATCTGAAATATTAATAATCCCCCCAAATTCCCCAAATTAATTTTAAAAAACTGTAATAAACTTATTGCGAAAGTGGCGCTTCGGATTTAAAGTAATGTTATTTAACATAAACAGTCTTGTTTCCTATCTTATTGTTTATAAACGCGCGCTGAAATAATGCGTTACTCTCTATATATATCGGTTATTGCGAAGAATTATTGCTAAGGTCTCGGTAGTCTAAAGGCTCAGGACGCTCGCACGGAATGCAAGAGATCCGGGTTCGACTCTCGGCCGAGGCAATATTTTTCGCAATAAGTTTATTACAGTTTTTTAAGATTAATTTGGGGAATTTGGGGGGATTATTAATATTTCAGATCAATTGTGTTAATGTCGACAACCATATCGGCACGTAATTATCATTTCTGAAATTAATTCATTTGTTTGAAAATATATATATATTAGATCAACATCTTAATATAATACTTAGACCGTATTGGCGCTTCAGATTTAAAGTAAAATATAAATTAAATTTGTTCTCCAATCTTGCAGATATGGAACTGGGCAAAGTCGGATGTATGAAACGGTTAGGAATCACCGAATCTTGGGTAGTGAAGAGGCAAGTTCTCGTGAGTGCGGCTGAAGCAGCAGAAATGATACTTCGGGTGGACGATATTTTGCGCGCGGCTCCTAGAAAACGCGTGCAAGACAGAGGACGTTGTTAATTCATTCATTCATTAAGAAAAAAATTAATGTTTACTCTCGCTTTGATTTCATAATTGCCTGCAATTTTTCATGCATGTGGCCTCTTAAATTAATTAATGTGTTTAATTAAATATTGTGTTAATCTCATTGACGATAACACATTTGATATATAATATTAATGTACTAATGATAGTAAGGAGATATATTCCACTTTTTGAACATTTGTCATTTATGTATGAATTATATTCCATTTCTCGATTTTTCACAAATAAAATATTATACAATAAGAAGCATATATGTTAAAATTTTTTTATAACATTACAATAGATTCAATATTAATAAATGCTTTGAGATGCAATACTTTACATGAATATTTCACACACACTAGCAATATACTTTATTAATTTGTTATATACAAGTCATTTTTATAATAATAAACATACAGATATAAGATTTAATAAAGTATATTTTAGTGATAAGGAAATATTCATTTCACATGCATTTGATTTGTGACTATTTTTCTTAAATTAAGCTCTATGAATTTTATTTATTCGGCAATAACAGCCTGTTCCAATAATAAAAAAAAAAGCAAAAAAGAATAAGACTGGCATGCCTTTAAAATATGTTTTATGGATTGACATTCTTATACTACATGGAAAGTGGTCACACTATGCTGCTAGTATGGTTACTAGTACAGCTACTAGTGGATGCATCATTTCATTGATTATTGTAAGTTTACTGACTATATGCTTATATAATAGTCATCAATACTCTATTGGAGCTGTCTTTATGAATAAGTTTTGATGGAAATCTTCCAACACACGGACCTCTCTGATTGGAGCATAATTACGTTATTTGAAATCCTTCATTAAAACGGATTATACATTCAATTAACAAATAACAGATCTTGACTTGACTGAAGAATATTTAAAAAAAGTATATAAATTTCCACCA